TATATATATATGTATATATTTATGTATTATTTATTTTATTTTATTTCTTAATAACATTCATTTTGTAAAAAAAAAATCCTGTTAAAAAGATTGCTAAATAAATGCATATTTATTTTCATCTAGCTTATTTTGTTATTATTTTTATATTAGGTATTTAAATGTGCATATATATTTATATATTATTAATTTTTGTCTATTTATTTACATACATATTTAATTTTCCCCCCCAGTTGAATTATATTTAAAGTTCAAAGAAGCACACTGTTAAAAAGACAGTTCAGTGAATGTATATTTATAATTTATTTTTTATCTATTTTTTACATGGATGTTTCAGTTAAAATTATACATCAAAAGTTAAAAGAAAACGCTACGTTTAAAAAATATATATATATGTATTTATATTTTATTTTAGCTTCATTTCAAGAGAAGAAACTGGCCTAATTATTCCGTTTCTGCATTTTTGATCTGCGTTCTTTCCAGGCAAATAAGCATATGATATATTTAAATTTATATTTTAATAATTTCATTTGACATTTTTAAAAACAATGTATGTAACAATTTATTATTATTATTATAAAAATTTTATTTGAAAAGGAACCATGTACAATTATAATATAAATGTTTCCATTTCATGGATTGTACCGAATTTAGCTTTCACTGAGAAAGATGATAACCCAAAGGCAGAATGACGAAAAGGAACAACACAATCACTAGTAGATGATGATCTAATAGATCTTATTAATTCATCAGGATTACTGAATTGAATATTAATTGATTTATATTTAAAATAAATAAAAAAGACAGTACAATAAATGCGCACTGTTTCCAAACTCAATGAGTCATCATGTTGAATAATCAGAATCAGAATCAGCTTTTATTCGCCAAGTGTGCGCAAACACACAAGGAATTTGTTGTGGTTTTTAAAAAGCTCTTGGTACATACATGCATACATACATACATACATATCTGACATGAGAACAGAAACATTTAAATAAGACTTAACAATAAATAATAATGTGTATGAATCTGGAACAGAAGATTTATGTACAGATTTGTGCATTATTGACTCTCTATATACAGCTGTATAAAAATTATGCATATGTATTTACATAGTACTTGAGAGAGAGGCAATAATTAGAGATGGAGATTGAATTACAGGCATGAATTACAGAACACAGGTAATAATTCCTGTTTAAGCTGTTTAGGCTGGAGATGGCATGGGGGAAAAAAACATTTTTTTTTTTTTTAAATTTTCAAAATCTGATTTTGAATGTGATTGTCCTCAGATCCCGTCGGGTTTGTTCATCCCCAGTATGGCGGTGGGTGCCATCGCCGGCCGTATCGTGGGCATCGCGGTGGAGCAGATGGCTTATCATCATCACGACTGGATCATCTTTAAGAACTGGTGTCGTCCTGGCGCAGACTGCGTCACTCCGGGTCTGTACGCCATGGTCGGCGCCGCCGCGTGTTTGGGTGAGACGCTCCAGATCCAGAATCTCTTCAGATCGGGATGTGATTCAATGAGAGGAAGATTTGATGATGTAGATTATGAAGTTTAGACGTGCAGAAGGGAAATCCTTGATCAGATGTGTTTTAGGGGGTACCTACATAAAATCTGAGATTGAATATTGTTTTAATCACCATGCAAGTCTATTTTTTATTTGAAACTGCTTTTTTAAAAATGTAATGCTCACTTTACTTGCCAAAGCCCATTTTTATTCTCATTTGAGGTTTGTGACGTTTTCTGTAATTAAAGGTGAAATAAACTAAAATATATATATTTGACAAAACTTCTAAAACTTAACTTGAAATAAAAATAAATTAAAGCTAAAGGGAACGAGCATTTTGATTGGACAAACATTTCTTGGTCCTACGCCTTCCACAGAATATATAAATACAGATAAATAAATTTAGACCACTTAACTTAATGATTGCTATCCGGGATGTGAAGAGATTTCAACCAGCATAACAAAAAATGTTTCTGAAGACAATCACCTATTGCACCTTTAAAATAAAATACTTAAACGGAAATATTTTTTTTACATGTACCATTTCTTACATACTAAAATGACTAAAACTGAAATACAAAATACATTTAAGTTAAATAGAAATATAAAAAACTAATAAAAATGACAAAAAAATTTTAAATGTTAAAAAATGTTAAAAATGAAAAAGAATAGAAAATAAAACTATTGAAAATAGTTTTTTGTTATTGAAATAAAGCTGAAATAAAATAAAAGCATTAGATGAAAAACTTGAAATAAAAATAAATACAAGATAAATATAATTATTAAAAAACTAACATGACAAGCACATAACAAAATTACTGAAATTAAAATGAGTAATATAAAAGTTAATTGAATATAAATAAAAACTATAATAGCATGTAAATGCTAGATTATGAAGTGAAGTGTTTGTGTTTGATGCAGGCGGCGTGACGCGGATGACAGTGTCTCTGGTGGTCATCATGTTCGAGCTGACCGGGGGTCTGGAGTACATCGTTCCTCTGATGGCGGCCGCCGAAGATAAATAGAATTATTAAAAAACTAACATGACAAGCACATAACAAAATTACTGAAATTAAAATGAGTAATATAAAATAAAAGTTAATTGAATATAAATAAAAACTATAATAGCATGTAAATGCTAGATTATGAAGTGAAGTGTTTGTGTTTGATGCAGGCGGCGTGACGCGGATGACAGTGTCTCTGGTGGTCATCATGTTCGAGCTGACCGGGGGTCTGGAGTACATCGTTCCTCTGATGGCGGCCGCCGTCACCAGTAAATGGGTGGCTGATGCCTTCGGGAAGGAGGGCATTTACGAAGCTCACATCCAGCTCAACGGCTACCCGTACCTGGACCAGGACGAGTTCACGCACCGCACGCTGGCCACCGACGTGATGCGACCGCGCCGCAACGAGCCGCCGCTGGCCGTCCTGACACAGGACAGCACCACGGTGGAGGATGTGGAGACGCTCATTAAAGACACCGACTACAACGGCTTCCCTGTGGTCGTCTCGCGTGAGTCCGAGAGACTCATCGGCTTCGTGCAGAGACGCGACCTCATCCTGGCCATCAGTAAGACACATGCACACAGTGACGCGTTAGCATACGATACAGCTCATCTGGGGGGCAGTAGGGCTGTCAAAAAAAAATTACAATTTCGAATATTTGTCGAATTTAAAATAAAAATCCACATTCGAATGCAAAAACGTTGCCTTCGAATTTTAGGTGTGCGTCAGACAGTCTTATCAGTGGCGCACGAAATGCGACGACGAAGTAAGTGTCATTGCATTTTAAATGTTTTTCATAGCTTATCCACTAGATGCGGCGCTGCTGTGTTGTTCGTACAAAATATTGCGGAAAAAGAGAACATCAATGCAGAGAAGATCTTGTACCCATCCCACTGCATCTCATGTTTATAAATAAAAAAGTACTCTTTGTGATTGTTTTTCGGTCTTTTGTATTAAACTATACACACATGATGCTGTTTTGTTTCTAACTGTTTAAGCAAATTAATTAATTATATATGGTTCATAAACATTCATTTAAATATTATGCACTTTTTTCAAAGATAGTCGTGTTATTTTATTGCTTTGAATAAACGTGAATTAGTAATTTTTTGCTCGATGCGCCCTCTTGTGGACTCAGGAGAGAAGCCAAAAGCTTTTTTTCCCCTAACTGAAATTATGCCATTTAAATTCAAATATAATTCGAATATTGATCATATTTAAGTACAAAATTCTAATTTAGTTTTTCAGCCATTTTGACAGCCCTAGGGGGCAGGGCTCCAGTCGGCGACCAAATTTTTTCAGCAAGTACGACTAAATTTTATTCGACCACCACGTTGTTCAGCGCTGCCATTTCTGTTGCATATGAGAAACATCAAACGAGAAATGAAACAAAAAAATGAAACTAAACCACGCTACATTTCAGCTGCGCAGCGCGGACCGTTGATCAGCTCGGACCGCAACGCAAACAAACTTGTCCGAGCTCAGAACAGCTTTCCTCAAGAGCCAAAGTTGATTTCGCGACACTGTTACTACACAGATGCAACAGTGCTGCGAGATGTAGTGAGAATCAGTAAAAGTCTGATGAATGTTTTATTGAAAATCTGTTATGTACATTTGAAAAAAAAAATTACAATTTACCCCGTGGCGGTTCTAGTGTTAAAATTCTGCACAGAATTCTCTGTTGATCCAATTTGAATGAATGACCAAAATATACTTTGTGGTAAATAAACACTTAAATCACAATTATAACCAGTAGATGGCAGCAGAGGAGCACTTATTGGCTCATTAGTCATTAATTTCTACTTTTTCTCTGTATTTTGAAATCATAAAATCACTAGGCTATTATAAAATATCAAATCATCAAGAAATCAGATTTTGTCAGAATTTCACACTTTTTTGTGTATGAAGTAAGAAAAGTCACAAAGTGCCTTAAACAAACTTTTCTTCAATTTTGAAGAAATCGAATGGCACATAATCACAGTTGATAATCAAGTTGGTCAGTTCCATATAATACTATAGGAGGAATAATGGTACATTTAATAAGAGTGGAATATATACATTTTCTATATAAAAATTTGATTTTGCACGTTACTTTTGTTAATAAAAGTACATTTTGTATGCATCCCAACTCAAGCTCAGTGCTTTACTGTCAAATCTGTATAAACAGGAAATAAACAAGAAATGAGCATGTAATATTATTAGTAAATGTACTTATTAATATTAAAACAATAGTAATTTTATGATTAAATTATCTATCCTGGCGCCACCATCTGTAGAACCTGTGTGGGGGGTATTCCAGAAAGCAGGTTATGTGACATACATTTTAAAAATGTTCGTTTAACAAATTATATGCAATTCTGTGCAAACGTTTTCAATAATTAAGATTTTTTTAAATTGTTTTTTAAAGAAGTCTCTTCTACTCACCAAGGCTGCATTTGATCTAATAAAATAATTTTTAAATAAATTTGAGAATTTGAAAAAACTTGATATTGTATATTATTAGATGAAATATTATTAGAATTTAAAATAGCTGTTTTCTATGTGAATATATAGTAAACTGTAATTTATTTCTGTGATCAAAGCTGAATTTTCAGCATAATTTCTCCAGTCTTCAGTGTCACATGATCCTTTAGAAATCATTCTAAAATACTGATTTGCTGCTCAAGAAACATTTCAGAACTGAAAAAAGCTTATGTTGAAGAACTGAAGTTACTGTCACTAAAACTGAAATAAAATAATTAGAATTATTTAAAAAACAAAACCTAACAAGACAGAAGCACATAACAAAATGACTAAACTTAAACTAAAATTAAAATAAACTGCAAATATAAAAAATCCCCGCCATCAGTTAACAAAAACTACAACTAAAACTATTACCAATATTTTTTCTGTAATTGCAATAAAAAGCTGAAATAAAATAAAATATAAATATTAAATGAAAGACTTAAAATACTGCTGAAATAGAAAGTTTCAAGTTGAAGTACTAAAATTACTAAAACTGAAATAAAAATAAAATTATTAAAATGAAAATGAAAACTGAAAATGTAAAATATAAGCTAATTGAAATATGAATAAATACTATAATAGAATATATATATATATATATATATATATATATAGTAAAGTTTC